AGATGTAGGTTTTTTCTAATCGATGTTACCATCAATGAGTAAATAAGAAGCTTTCTTTGATCTGCAAATATCAATACCTGTACAATGTTGCCCACATGACTAGTTATCGCGTGCATGAAATGAGCATTATTATATACACCTTCTGCAGCAACACATCTCTCTTGTGGACCACGAGCACGCGGGGATCTAAGGTGAAATAAACAACGCATAAACAAATTTCAAATGTAATTATATAATTTCATTATGCAGAATATTCAGCAAGTAAACCAACAAATTTTGTCAGCATGTTTGGAAGGTTGATGTATACACAAAATGTTATACAAATAATACTGATATGCCTAATTATTATGTTGGGTTCATATGATTTCAAATAAATACTTAAGAAATGTTAAGTAGCTTGAATGTGTCATTCCATATGTTGATAACAAAAATAGAGTAAACTATGGTATTCATATTATTTTTTATTTGAAATAAGATTCCAAACGGAGTCATAAGTTTATCGGTTTGCTTGTGAAACTCTTTGTCTATCATCTTCCAGACATTCCAAGGAAAAATGTACGATACCATTGAGAGCAGGGAAATGTGTAAGTTGGAAAGATACAGGGAAATGAAAAACAAAAAGAAACTGATAAAAAGGAAGAAAGAAGGTGGGTACCTATTAGTATTAGAACGGTTCTTTCTTTTGCTATTCATTTTGCCACCAGACGAGGATTCTTCGCCACTGGTTGGTGGATTTCTGCCGCCGATTTGTTGCGGGCCTTCTCGTTTCCTAGTGGGGACCGGAATTTTGACTAATTTCCCGGTGACCGCTCAACGTCAAAAAAATATGATTTCGATCGAACACGTCCCGCTACGGGAGATGAATTGTTGCACGCGTGTTTGTTTCTTTACAGTCTCCTCGTTAAATACGGGAAACCAGAATTCGAAATCTTGTTCGACCCCGAAACGATTGACAGGAGGCCGTACTGGCCGTAACAACTATCAACATTCACGATCGTTTTTAGGTTTTTTAATCACGATCGTTTTCTAGGTTATGCGCGAACGGTACGGTTACCTAAACACTCGTTTGCGAAAGTGTAGCGCGTGCGTGACTTTCGAGTTCAGACAGACACGAGAATGCGAGCAAAGAAAGCAGGAACACTTGGCATTCGTGGAGACGTACGGGGGAATACGGTGTCTACCCGACACGACACGACACGACACTACACGATATCTTGCTAGCGCGTGACGTAACTCGGTTCTTCTTACGTAGGGAATCACCTTTATGGAATTTCGCGTCTACGGAGTTTAGAAACGAGTGCTGCTAGCCTTGAACAATGATTTTGGCAACGATACAGTATTTTTATTTAATTAATCAACATGTGGTAAACGATAAAACTTAGCACAAGTCGCCCGATCAACCTGATCCCGGTGACTGTCGGATACAGTCGCCACCTGGCGTGAAACCAATGGACGTTGCGATAAAGATCATTCGCATCCGCAATACACTTTGCTTGTGCCTGTGCCTGGACCTGGGCTTTGGCCTGCGCTTGCGCTTGTGCCTGAGCTTGAGATTGAGTTTGAGCCTGAGCCTAAACTTGAATCTGAGCCTGAGCCTCTGCGCACCTTCGTATTTATACCACAGTACTGACAGCAACTTCATCTTCTCATTGCGTGTCGCTGTCGTCGCAGTTTACATTTTCTCTTCATATGAAAACGAATCTTTAGTTTGTCAAATGTTTTTCTTTATTGACTAGCAAGCGATCTATATTATTAATCTTTTCTCATAAGCAATCTTGATACGTACTTTTACAAGCATTTCATATTTGCAAAATACACCATTTTGACGAGTATAATGATTTCTTTTTAAAATCTCATATAATAATTCAGATTAGGATTGTATCGAGCTACTCTCAATTTCAACGCGCCTAATCTTTTGAAACTGTAGGGCAAGCCTGGGCTATTGATTGCTCTCTCACAGGTGCCAGTCTTGGGAACTCGTAACCCCATTACCATGCCTAATCATTTTAGCCGTGGAAAAGAAATTGTACTTTTCCCTGTGTTATTGTCTGAACAACAGTCTTAAATTTGAAATATTTACAGTTGTGGTATCGCAGTATTAAAGTACATGTAGATAGTACACCACGAATCTAGTCTATCCGCCATCTTGCGAGGGTGCCTTAGTGCTGCTATCTGTTTTATAATTGGTAAACTACACTTGATATTTGAATTAAGGTAATCTAATACACACACATATAGAAGGAACCCTTTACGCCCATGTGTTTCAAGCAACTTGCAAACGTTCCATATCGGTCGTTTTGACGCTTCGGTACCGTAACGAATAGTTCAAGAGTAGTCAATAGTGTTTCCAAAAAGTCTAATATATGTCTGAACAGTATCCAAAATGCCAACTTCATGTTATTGTCAAATAACTAACTCTACGGTAACCTAAACGTTGGGTTAATACTTCAATTTAGCTGTAGAATGCGACACTAGTATGGCCTACCAAAATGGCGGATAGTCTTGATTGCTTCTGATTCCCCTTACGTCTTTGATACTTTCGTACATATGTACCACGTTACCGTAACTAGGCACTTTTTAGTGATAGTCTTTCGTTTAAACAATTCAAAGGTGCTTTTCCATCAACGAACATAGTGATACAAACGAACAATTACATAGTAGGAAATTTAATCCTTATTGTTCACGAGCTGTTCTTCGAATGCTGTGGTGAGGATACACCTTATTTAAACGGTGAACACCTTAGAGTAGGGCTCGGAATTAACTGCACATGAGAAAGACAGAGCAGTCTCCGAAAATGCTCTCTTTAGAGCATATACACTATACGTATACCTGCGGCATCATCTACAGTAATGGGATCTATTCCTGCACGCTTTTCTTACTCCCTAAGCTGGCGCGCACATTCCCACAATTTTACTACGCATCCAATCTGCAGTGGATCTTGTCTTAGCAGTGAGTTGTCAGCCAATCAGAGTAGAGAACATTTTCTATGTCAATCCTCGCTAACGGATCAAGCTGCGGCTTGGCATTGTGCAGGAGTAGGACTCAATACTATACTTCGAAGTATGAAACCATTTCGCAGAAGGACATAGATTCAAATTCAATACAATCTGTCTCTTTCTACTGGATATAGATTGGCTGATATTTCTCCCCTCTCATTTTCTTCAGTGCGTACTTAAAGTCCGGACCCCGGCCCGGGCCCGTGGTCACTGGTCGTTATACAGAGTACATATATCAAAAATGTACATATATCAAAATACATATATCAACAATCCGGAAATGGGAGGTTCCTGAGGTCATTTAAAGCAATAAAACAACTGACGCTATTACTATTGTGTATACTGTATATTCAAAAAATCTTTTCCATATTAAAGTAAAATAAATAATAATAAATAAATTATATATAAGAAGAAAATTAATAGAAAAATTGTATACAGTTACAAGGTCCTGAGACTTTTTGCTTCGATCCTGAGTTAAAGTGAAACAGGTTATGTCGAATTTGAATCTATCTCTTTCTACGAAGTGGTTTCATACTGAGCACTAGTAGACGCTGGTAGATGCTGCCTCCAGGTGATCACGTACAATACAGCGAGGTAAAGGACAGAGGATTAGAGTCTTAGATTCTTGATTTCTAAAGTCTAAAGCTTCATTACGAATTTCGTGTCACAATTCGTCGTTACAAATAATACCTGATTTTAAGCTTCTTAGTGAGAATCGAGTATTTTGTACACTTCATTTTTACCACGGATTGCTTTATGATTTATAGGTAGCCAATTTATTCGGCACGTATGTGTAAACGTATGTATAAACTTAAATTATGAAAATGATATTCACGACATATATATAGTACTACAGAAATACAGCTTGTTACATAGCAATGTGTCGAATTGTAGAAACGTTTTGTTTGTGCTCTTCTACTGAACTTACGCATACGTAGGTATGTGTGTAAAATCTGCGTAACTTTGTACATGTAGATACCGTTGTACACGATTATACAGGGTTAAACACGGTTGGACAGGATTGGACATAGTTACATTCGGTTACACAATTCGTGTTACGAATACATTTTGAACTTGTTAATTGAATACGTATGTAACGAGCAAAGGCAAATTATTGTGATTAATGTTGTAATTATTATTGATTAACAAGTTGAAGAGGTTATAAATTATTGTCGATTGAAAGTATTTCGGGCGTTTTTATGGTCCTCCTCGTACAATGCGTGCAGTTTCTGAACGATATTTTTCGTTCTATCGGAAATGAAATTGTCTACTCGACCCAGCAAGTTCACGCATCGAACCATCATATCGAAACCTTTGTTTACTCTTTCTGCTCGATTGATACGAGCGATCGATTTATCGGGCATGCTGTTTTTCCAGGACAGTTTTCTCAAGACGTTATCCAGTTCCTTCCCGCATACTCCTTTGGTGGTTTCCGTAATCGTCTGACAAAACGGTATTTATTGAATCTTTTTATATAAATAGGCAAGTCGAATCAAAGGAATTGCTGAACTTACCAGGGAAACGACGAACACTAACAGCAACGGTATTTTCATATCCTAATTTATGCCCAATATTACATGTATATGTATATTATATATTAATCCTTTTGAAATAAGGCAATTACTGGCAATGCTATGCTCTCTGACATTGCTTGTTGCGATTTAACGAATTTATTCGTGACTCTCGAACGAATATATGCATGTGTTATGTGCTCATCGGAACGGTATGTGCTGACACGGTACGAGGAATGTTTGAAAAACGTAAATCATTCTGAAACTTTGAGCAATGCTGTCGATAAATATGATAAATGATGAAATTAATCTGCCGTATAATGCATAAGAATAACCACACGTTACCATCCACGCATTAATAATTTGTCAAGCATATTTAATTTATTCCTCGTTCCGACTGCAGGTGACGGAAACGCTTGAAAACGAAACTATTAACATATGTATACGTACATACATATATTGTATATCATAGCAGCGCAAAATTTCAATATTC